AAGCCATCCTATCTTCTGGATAGCTGGGACTGCAGACACTGACCACCATGCCCAGCTTTGTGAATCTATGGGTGACTAAAATATCCACAAACACCTGAAAGGCTCTCTTTCTTAGAAGTTTACTCTGCAAGTTCACACTGACCTTTTTGTTACCCCAACACCCTTCTTGCCTCTACCATAGCACTAATTATTCATTAATTAAATGTATCCACTTGAGTTTATTTTGTGCTTTGAAACTGAAACACGGTCTTGCTCTATAGTCTAAGCTGATGCAGAACTTTCCATCACCTGCCTCAACCTCCTGAGTGCAGGGACTACAGGCATGTTCCATAATGCCTTAGTTATGTATCAGATTGTAATTGCCTATTTAAGGTCTCTGGAAGGAGACCATACCTCCAGTTCCTTGCATAAGGGTTGGAATCACGTAGATGTTTTATAAATATTCAATAAATGAATAAATGGAATTTGGAAAATGGTATCCTGGAAACAAGAGGAGAGTTTTAAGAGAGTCACAATAACAGTCGAGGGAGAGAGGTTGCTGGGAAGCCAGGTAAGATTAGATTAAGAAAATCCATCGTGCTTACCAAATAAATGTGTTCATTGTTAACCTGGTGTGTGGGGAGTTTTAGAGGCATGGGGAGGAAAAGCTAAGTAGGAAGTGGGCAGTAGTTTTTTTGAGATCCCTTTTATGAGCTACAGAAGAGAAGTCAAGTTATAAGGAGATAATAGGACTAAGGGAATAATCAGATAGGAATAATCAGGAGTTCAAGTCCTGGGTACAAAGAGATGTTAATGAATCAGGCAAATTCCAATCATGGTATCAGTCAGGAAATTGATAAATAATGCAGTATGGTCTCTCAACCTGGTTATCTTCCTGTCTTAATCTCACACCTTTGATTATGGGTGTGAGCCACAATATCCAGCAGACTTTTAAAGAAGACTTCTTAAAATATATAGAGAGGAAAACATATAGAAATGTTAAAAATACAAAAAAAGGGAGCAGGATGGTTTAGGATGTTATCTGAGATTCTAAAAATTAAGAATTCTAGATAAGAAAGTCCCTCAGGCCAAATGGAAGGGACGAATGATCAGAGTACATCATGGTGAAAAGAAATGTATATTGTAGAGTTTACCTCTGATTGGCCTCAAGTAAAGTCTGATCTATGAAGAAACTATTTTCTCATGGGGACTGGCTTCCCTCTCCTGAAGATTGAAAGCAGAGCTTGGAGCACACTGGTGACAGCTCATTTGAGGATATAGGATTTGGAGTCAGGATAAGAGATCATCACAGGATACAATTCTTTTGTCCTTTAAGAGACTCACAGGTATCTGATATTCAAACTCTTGTTCTAAACCTTGAACATGTTGGCTTTCCTATATGTGTAAGATGTACTGTGAAATTCCAGTAAACATGCCACTCAGCAGAGTAGCTTACTCTTTACCATTTATTAAAATGGGTAGAATTTTTTCTTGTCATTCATTGGGCTTGAACTCTGGGCCTGGGCACTGTCCCTTAGCTTTTCAGCTCAAGCTGATCACTCTACCACTTGAGCCATGGCACTACTTCTGGTTTTCTGGTGGTTAATTAGAGATACGAGTTTCCCGGACTTTCCTGCCTGGGCTGGCTTTGAATGGCAGTCCTCACATCTCAGCCTCTTGAGTAGCTAGGATTACAGGCATGAGCCACCGGCGCCCAGCTAGAAAAATTTTCTTTTTTAAATTGAGCTTCAAGAAACTCAATTATCTAAAATAGAACCTTCTAGGCGTAAGACAGGATATTACACCCAAACATATACTTTTTTAAAAAGAAATATGATCTGACTATTATGTCTAGGCTAGCTTCCTACTTCTGGGATCAAGCCATCCTATCTTAATTTCTGGATAGCTGGTACTACAGGTACTGACCACCATACCATGCCCAGCTTTGATTTATGGGTAACTAAAATATCCACAAACACCTCAAAGGCCCTCTTCCTTAAAAGTTTAAAGCTTGTGTACATTGTTGGTAGATATATGTTAGAATAACCAGAGAAATATCTAGTAAAACTTAAAATCACTGACCTGTAAATTGGGGGGGGGGGAAGTGTTGCTTTTGTGGTGGTTGTTTTTAGTTTCAATATTTTGAGGCAGGGCTGGGAAGGTGGCTCAGTGGTAGAGTGCTTGCCTTGCATTCGTGAGGCCCTGGATCGATTCCTCAGCACCACATAAGCAGAAAAAGCCAGAAGTAGTGCTGTGGCTCAAGTGTAGAGCGCTAGCCTTGAGCTGAAGAACTGAGGGACAGCACCCAGGCCCAGAATTCAAGACCCATGACTGACAAAAAAAAAAAAGGAAAATAAATTTTGAGGCAGAGTCTCATTATATTGGCCAAACTGGCCTTGAACTTGCTCTGTGGTTGAGGCTAACTTGGAACTCATAATCCTCTTACTTCATTCAGCCTCCAGAGTTCCTGGGACAGGCTTCTGGCACAACAGCCAGCTCTAGAAGTTATCAATGGGAATTTATATTCAGTAGCTATGTGTGTTTATGCAATGAGGGATTTTGTATTTAATAAAGGATTAAAAATCTTCTTATCATCCTATTCTTCCCTCCTCTTCAAACCCTGGCAACTCTGGTCTTCCTGCTGTCTTCAGAGTTTAGCTCCTGCCCCAGCCTCCTGCGTGTGTGATTACAAGTGTGGCCACCACACCTGGCAATAGTTTCACATTTTTCTTGGATACATGTAGGTGGAATCATGTTGTTTTTTTAAGATTAGCTTCTTTCATGCTGGGAAGGTAGCTCAGTGGTAGAGTGCTTGCCTTACGTGCATGAGGCCCTGGGTTCCATTCCTCAGCACCACATAAGCAGAAAAAGCCAGAAGTGGTGCTGTGGCTCAAGTGGTAGAGTAGAGTGCTAGCTTTGAGCTGAAGAGTTGAGGGGCATAGCCCAGGCCCAGAGTTCAAGCCCCATGACCCACCAAAAAAAAAAAAAAGATTAGCTTCTTTCAAGTATTAATATGTATTAAAGTTGCCACATCTTTTTGTAGATTGATAGTATTCAAGACTAAATAATATTCCATGCATGGATATGCTATAGTTTATTTACCTACTAAAGGAAATCTTGATTGTTTCTAATAGTTGTGAATAAATCTGCTATATATAAATATTCACATGCAGATTCTGTGTGGGCACTACTGATTAAAGCATGCCTATGTGCAGAAATACCAAGTTCAACACTGATAACTAAAGATAGAAAATGAAATTGTAACAGAAGACAAAATATATTGCATAATCTTTTATTTTAAAGTACTTAATTGGCAAATACTGTATCTCTTCAAACTGTTTAATGTGATGGTTTTCAATGTGTATACATCATGTAATGCTTATCAAATCACTATATCCATCCCATTAGATATTTAAAGTTATTTATCTTATCATTCAGGGATGATGTTATTTGATCAGATCTTCCCTTTTCTCACTAATTCTCAGCCTTTGGCAACCACCATTCTACACTTTGGTTTTCTGAGTTTGATTGTTGGAGATTCACATATAATTGAGATCATGCTGTTTGTCTCTGTCTGGTTTATCTCACTTAGCAGGTTCATCCTGTTGAAAATGGCAAGAGTTACTCCTTTGGGGATAGGAGCAATTGAAGAATAATATGTGTGTATGTGTGTGTATATGGGTATATGTTTACATTTTCCTTATCCATTCATCTGTCATTCATTACTTAGTTCTATTACTGACTGTTGTGAAAAATCTCCCAATAGAGGATGCCAATAGCTTTCTGTGATATGGATATATAATATATGCACATACACACACATAGACATGTATGCAGATACAGGTATGCATGTACATGCATATGGTGCTTATGTGTAATCATATATGTATATATGCACATTTATATGTGTGTATACATACATTTATACATGCACATGTATGCACACAATTGCCATACACTTACTTTTCCCCCAATAATATATATAGGTCTTCCTATTGTTTGGTGTTGAAACATAAACCTAGGGCCTTGCACAAGCTAAGCACATGCTCTGTCACTGAGCTATACTCTCCACCTTTCTATGAACTGGGTTTTTTAATTCAATAAGCTCACGTTATTCACAAATTTATTAAACACAAGTGTGATGTGATAACTGATAAAAATGAAAAGTTTTGAAAACAAAATGTTTTAATTCCTGCACAGTTGGTGTGGGGAATTCTCCCAGTCCTACGTTTTCTTAGTTGTGTTTAAATCATTGTATGATGTGCTGGCTGTGTGCCTGCCCTGAAGTTTTATCAGAAAGCAAATGGCACCCAAAAAGTAAAGCAAAAGTTATGGTAATCCTCTCAAATCACAAGTGGCATGCAATAGAGTTAATTTTAGTGATAAAGTGAAAATTTGATATTTGTAGAAAGGCAGTATGTCTTGAGGGGAAGTTGGTTGACATATGAGGAAATGAATCAAGCACCATGGGTAAGCACTCAATCTATGTACCCCTGATGGCTTCCTGGGCTTCCTTAGTGTTGATCTCCTTGGAACCATAGGCCTGCACACACCAAGGGTTTGTTGTACTCTGTTTAAATTAACCACAAAAAAATCCTTTACTTTTCTCCTTTTGTTGAAAAGTTGTCAGAGAACCATATGCTAGTGAAATCTTTTAACATATTGTTTCTTTTCATTAGGAATTTGTAGACTTTCCCTGCTAAGACCTCAATTTGTGTTTTTGAAAAACAGAAAGAAATTTTGTGAAATCTTGAAATAATTTAAACCATCTAAGACTAAGGCATATATAATGAAACAACTTATACTACTTGTATAAAAAGGTATTTGTTTAAAAATTGAAATTTTCATTTGATACTTTTTCTGTTAAGATGTGTTTAAAATTCAATATCTCTTTCTCATGAATCAACATTTTCCTATGCAAAACCTTAATCTTTTTAAGGTGCTTACATGGTACTGAGTTTTTTGTTTTTCAGGACATGCACATGTAGACAACATTAGAATATCAGGACGTGAAGTTCAGAATGTCTCTGCCAAGCCGACAAACATCTATCGTGAACCCCCCTCCACCAGAGTACATAAATTCCAAGAAAAATGGGCGATTGACAAATCAGCTCCAGTACCTACAGAAAGTTGTCCTAAAGGCATTATGGAAGCATAGTTTTTCCTGGCCTTTTCAACAGCCTGTGGATGCTGTGAAACTAAAATTGCCTGTAAGTATATCAAATAATAATGGGAACTTAAGAAAAGACAAATCAGATGGGGCATGTCTCAAGTGGCAGAGCAAACTTGCCTGGTCAAGTGAGAGGCCCAGTACTATGTCCCCAACTAATAACTAATTCATCAATAGAAATAGTAACTCATTAATTAATTGAAAAGAAAAACTTCTAAATAAGAAAATCTATATAATAGTATAAAATATACCCAAGAAGCACCTAGTTACCCAGCACAACTAAAGTCTGATAAATGCATATATTTTCTTGTAACATGTGCCACTGCCTTTTTGATGCATGGTAACCACGAATATCATCCTCTTCATGAAGTCACTCTCAGCACTTCTTAGAGGACTTATTTCTATCACATACTGTGTGCCACTTTAGACTTCATTAAATATTTTTAGCCATCAATTAATAGAATGGTTGAATCATTTGTGATATAGCTAAGTAGTGATAGATCTGTGACTTTACTCTAGATCTGTCAGAATCCATAAATAGTATTGTTCCCATCATGTCCTTTCCTTTGTATTTTTCAGGGATAATTCTACTCTTAAATTCCTTTCTCAGTTAATCTTTATATTGGCTTTTTGTGTTCTTTGAGAAATAATGCTATGACAATCAGCTTTGACTTTAATTACTAAAGATTATGGCTTCCAAGCTGGGCCCTAGTGGCTCATGTACATAATCCTAGCTACTCAAGAGGCTGAGATCTGAGGATCATGGTCGAAAGCCAGCCTGGGCAGGAAAGTCAATGAGACACTTATCACCAATAAATTACTTAGAAAAAGGCAGAAGTGGTGCTGTGGCCCAAGTGGTAGAGCACTACCCTTGAGCACAGAGAGGTTTGGGGACAGAGCCCAGGCCCTGAGTTCAATCCCCAGGACCAGCAAAAAAAAAATATTATGTCTTCTAGATTATAGCTTTTAAAAACAGTTACAATCTTTAGAGAGTTTATGAAGTTTGTGTACCAGTAGTTGTAGCAATTGCATTCTTACTAACATAATTTATTCAAAACCATAGGATTATTATACCATTGTAAAAAACCCAATGGATTTAAATACGATTAAAAAGCGGTTGGAGAATAAATACTACATGAAGGCTTCAGAATGTATAGAAGACTTCAATACAATGTTCTCAAATTGTTATTTATACAACAAGGTATGTAAGCATTATACTGCTGATACTTCTCTGTTATGTATAGGAGAGAGATGTATAAATAACTATGTTGATTTCAGATCTCAAGCCATGATTTGTAATATTTTCTCTATTTTTATGTTATTGCTTTTTTTCACAGAGTTTCATGATTCACATACTTTAGTATTTCTTTTATTTATTTGCTGTCTGCCTAAATAGCTGTAGTGGCTCATGTTGTTGTTTGTTTTTTTTAATGCCAGTGATAGCTAGTTTCTGTGATTATAGTATTTCAGAATGTTTTCTATTGAATTCCTGTAATTTTAGTTATAAGAAGAATGAAAAACCTAATATACACTGGTCCTAGTTAAATTTTAGTGGTTGGAATCTGTAGCCATTAGCCTAAGATATCAAATTGTGTACTTTGTATAAATAGAATACAATGCTGAGAATTGAACCCAGGGCTGTGAACATACTAGACAAGCAGTTTGCCACTCTACTACACCTCCAGCCCCAAATTACATACTCTTGACTTCATAACAAGTTGGTTTATCATACTTATTTCTGGTCATGTCCTAGTAGTAATACTAATATTTATATTAAGATAATAGCCAATCAGATGATGTATGTGGGCATTTTGAGCTTAATCTTCATATTTGTTCTCATCTATAAATAGAATTTGTCTAACTCCTGTTTATCAACTATACAAATACAATAAAAATAATTCTTAAAAATATGCCAATTAAAGTTGAGAAAAATTAGATTTGTGTATTTGGTTTTTGTCCCATACATTAGTCTGACTTCTCAGAATACCATATTCTATTTTCTGTCTGTTTTATGATATCTAAATATTTTGAAGCTTATAGCCCATTTAAATGTGAGAAATCTAAGTATATGGAATTTTGTGTACACAGAATAACTAGTAATACTGAGATAGAATCAGAAGTTTGATATGGCTCCCAAGATAACACAAACACCATTTTATATGTGTGAAAGACTTAAGACTATTAACTGACATTGAGTGGACAGTAGTGACTCATGACTAATATCCTAGCTACCTGGGAGACAGAAACTAAGTAGATAATCATTGGAGGCCAGCCTTGGCAGAGAAGTTTTCAAGGCCCCTTCTTAATCCACAGCTGTGTTCTGTAGCACTTGCCTATTACCCTGAACAACATGGGAGGCTGAAATTGGGAGGTTTGTGGTTCCAGGCCAGTCCAGACAGAAAGCTCCATGAGACTGCATCTCATTGAAGAGAAGTTGGGTTTAGTGAGATGCACTAGTCATTCCAGCCAAAATAGGAATCCTAAAATAGGAGGATAGACTCATGCTTGGACAAGAAGCTTGACCCTATCTCAAAAATAACCAGCACAGGGGCTGGGAAGGTGGCTCAGTGGTAGAGTGCTTGCCTTTCATGCATGAAGCCCTGGGTTCGATTCCTCAGCACCACATAAGCAGGGAAAAAAAGCCAGAAATGGTGCTGTGGCTCAAGTGGTAGAGCGCTAGCCTTGAGCTGAAGAGCTGAGGGACAGCGCCCAGGCCCAGAGTTCAGGCCCCAGGACCAGACCCCCAAAAAATAAATAAAAATAACCAGCACAAAAATTTGATGTGATGCAGCAGTCATGCACTTGCCTCACCAGCTTTGAGGCCCTGAGTTGAAACCCTGGTTTTAGGGGGGAAAAGGCCTACTAACTGAAACGAATTTTAAAAAACTCAGTTTACCACGGTTATCGGATTGTTGACTTAATCTTAATAGTGATTCTAAAGGGCCCTTTCACATTTCTTTGTGTGTGTGTGTGTGTGTGTGTGTGTCTGTGTGTCTGTGTCTGTGTCTGTCCTGGGGCTTGATCCTTGGCCCTGTCTTTCAACTTTTGGTTAAGGTGAACAATCTACCATTTGAGTAACAGCTCCACTTCCACCTTTTTTGGTGGTTAGTCAGGAATAAGAGTCATTGATACTTTCCTGCCTGGGCTGGCTTCAAACCATTATTCTTAGATCTTAGCCTCTTAATAAATAGATAGGAATAGATAGGATTACAGGTGAGCCTCCCACCCCCCCCACCCCCACCCCACCCCGGGCCCTGCTCACACTTAACATCTTAAATCAAAATTCAGTAGTTTTCCTGACCTGCTCAGCTAAGAAATGTTTTCTAGGCTGTTGCTTCTTAAGTTACTTAGTATATTTTTTCCTCAGCAGTGAAATAAAGCAAGAAAACTTCTAAGCAGGCAGCTAAAAGACTTTAAAGTTGATCCTTTCAAACTATATAAAGTACACATTTGCTTTAGCCTATTTGAAGTGTAGAAATCCTAATGTCTGATAACTTTGTATTACTGAAATTAATTTCATTGTACCATTGTAGTGCTGGGGAAAGTATTCTAGTCCTTTTTAGAAGCTGAAGTAGACAGGATGTTAGGAAATGAAATAAGGCTGTTTCATAAACTTCTGAGTTTAGCGAAGATAAATACTAAGGTATACTATATCACCACCTACTGTAAAGTACTCTGAATTAATAAGATCTGTTTCAGTGACTATACTGTATATCCTTATGGATATTTAATACATTTTTTAGCCTGGAGATGACATTGTTCTAATGGCACAAGCTCTAGAGAAGTTGTTCATGCAGAAATTATCCCAGATGCCACAGGATGAGCAAGTTGTGGGTGGTAAGGAAAGAATGAAGAAAGGTAAGTCCAGAAAGTAACAAGTGAGTCTATCTATCTGTATCTGTTTTCCGACCCCCATCCTTTTCTATTGGTACAGTGCTAAATTGGCAAAAGATCTCAATGTTAAGAATGAAATGACGGGTGCTGGTGGCTCACGCCTGTAATCCTAGCTACTCAGGAGGATGAGATCTGGGGATCACGGTTCAAAGCCAGCCTGGGAAGGAAAAGTCTGTGAGACTCTGATCTCCAAAAATCCACTCAGAAAACCAGAAATGGAGCTGTGGCTCAAGTGGTAGAGCACTAGCCTTGAGCTGAAGAGCTAAGGGACAGTGCCCAGGCCCAGAATTCAAGCCCCATGACCAACCCAAAAAAAAAGAAAAAAAGAGTGAATTGTTACTAAGTGTTTTCTTTTTTAAACTAAAAAAAACTTCAGGGAAAAATCTTTATTGGTTAAAATCAGGTCCTCATGAACTCTACCCCAGCCTTCTTAAAATTTTGAGACAGGGTCTTACTGGCCTAAACTTTGTGATCCTCCGGAGTGACTAGGGTTACATTTGTGTGCCACCAGACTATAGAGAAGCATATTGCTTAAAACATGGAATACAAAATGAATTTTAAATATTAAAAACTGTGGTGGTGGAACAAGAATGTCATAGATCAAATGTTAATTCATCTTTAGATCATTCAGTCGGTGTCATCTTAGTTAAGTCCATACTCATTCCATGGAAGTTTGTTTTTGTTTTTTAGTAGAAAAACTCCAACTAACCAGTGTATGAAGTGCTAGAACAGGAAACAATTTCTCACTGCAGGCTCTCCTGATTGACATACTTGGTTTCTTCGGCGCATACTAGCAAAAGGCATCTTTTGAAAACAAACTCAGAACACTTCTCAGCCTTCTGGCTAACGTTAAGGGTTAGAACAAACTAAAACATATTTACTGGCTTGGAACCTATTGTTGGCTTCCCACAGAAGCATGAGATATCATAAATTCCATACCATGACCCTTTGCGATCTTATCCCTGCCCAACTCTCCATTTTCATACTTAGCTACTTTCCTGTTAGTTGCTGTAAATGTGTCCCTATTTTCCATGTGTTGGAAATGGGACCTGATACTGAGAGTTATGAGACTGTCAGCATTAGATCCCTCCCTAGATGCAACAGATGTTAGTGTCATGCTCTTATATGTCCAGCTTTCAGAGCTATGACCTAAATAAACCTCTGTTCTTCAGAAGTTATCCCATCTGTGGTATTCTGTTAACACAACCAGAAATAGATCATGACACTAAGATTCTCCCTGCTGATTACCTGGGCACAACCTCTCTTTACTGTGTCCTGTTGCCTGGCTAGGTACTCCTTGCCTTTACTTGTTTAGCTGCCTTTCCTCTGATATGCCTCTTCTTAATGTATTCAACACTATATTCCCTTTTTTCCCATTTTTAAAATTACCTTTAAGTAGTTGTACAAAGGGGTTTCAATTTGACATTCATCTATTTGACTCCTAACTCTTCGTAAGTGGTAAGGAGATTGAGGAGTGTCATCCCTATCTTAAAATACTGAGTTCCTGAGTTGGTTTAGCAAGAATTAGATATCCAGAGAAATAGCTATATGTTGTATATCAAATATAATAACATAAAAACAAAGCAGCATAAGAAAACTAGAAGCCAGGCGCCAGTGGCTCAGGCCTGTAATTCTAGCACTCAGGAGGCTGAGATCTGAGGATTGTGGTTCAAAGTCAACCAGGCAGGAAAGTTCATGAGACTCTTATCTCCACTTAACCACCAGAAGACAGGAAGTGGCACTGTGGCTCAAGTGGTAGAATGCTAGCCTTGACCTGAAGAGCTGAGGGATAGCACCCAGGTCCAGAGTTCAAGACCCACCACCAAAAAAAAAGAAAAAAAGAAAACGAAAACTAGAGAGCAGAGATTGTTTTATGTAAGATGGTTGAAAATGAGACATAATAGTGAAGGCTGAAAGGAAATGTTGGCAAAAACAATGAGTATCTCTTCTTTTAGGCAACACAAATAGTTGGCTTGTGCTTACCAAATGTGAGGACACCAAAGCCAGCTGATAGGCTAGAATATAATAAAAGAGGAGAGAGTGACAGGCCATGGGGAAGCAGATCATGCAGATCTTTGTGAGGCATGGTGAAATTTGGACTTTCAGCTTAAAGCCGTCACCATCAGAAGACATTGGACAGAATTGTCATGATCTGATTTTGTTTTGTTTTGAGATAGAATTTTACTAGCCTTGAACTCATGTTAGCCTTGAACTCAAAACTCCCTTGCCTCACTCTCACAAGGGCTGGAATCACAGGTGTTGACATGGCCACTGATGAGTTTTATTGCACCACTTAAATTATTATTTTCAACATTAAATAGTAGAGTGCAAAAGCTGAAGGATGGCCTGCCTGTCTGATAGACTACTATTGTTTGTTTCTTTGTATTTCCTTAGTAGTTGAACAAAGAAGTTTCAATTCAACACATCACTTTGAGAGTGCAATGCATCTTGGTCAATATCACCCCTTTCATCATTCTCCATCGGGTGCTATTGAAATAATCCCTTTGCACAATGATGACCCTCAGACTGGGGTAATTGATTACCACTTGTGAGAAGTAGTTGGATTCTGGATATTCAGATAGGGCACAAGGTATACTGGGACACTAGGGCATAGGGTTTGAGAGTAGATCTAAGAGTACTGTTAAGGTTTTTGGCCTAAGTAATTAGATGTAGTCACCTTGATGGACTTCAGAAATAATTTGAGAGTATCATAATTGAAATGCCTCCTGTTATAGCATCCTCTGGGAACATACAGAAGAGCACGCACAATTGTCCTTTGGCAGGCCTGTCTACAGCTAAGAATCATATGAGTAAGAATCATATCAGTATCTTTTGTTCTGTATCAGTTTTGTTCTATAACAATTTTGAGATCCTTGGATATTTATACAGAACATTCTGAAGTCTGTATTACTACTTAGAGTTGTTTCCAGTTTATCTGAAAATTTTACTCACATTTACAGCTACCCAAAGCTAACCCATAAAGTTCTATTAGTCTTATTTTATACAAAGCACCCTTTTGGGAAAAAAATGGTAAATATACATTTCCAACACATTTTGGCAGTACTGGCATTTGAACTAATAAATAGGACCTCGTACTTGCTTGGCAGACATAAAAATGGGATTAGAAGTGTCTTTTATTATCTTTAAATTGGTGCTGATCATAATCAAGAAAGGCACAATCTTGAATGCCATAAATCCAAATACCAAATCCCTTAAAGATTAAAATCCTGGAAAATTAGGCCAAGCGCCTATGACTTATGCCTATAATCCTTATTACTTAGAAGGCTGAGATCTGAGGATTTGGATTCAAAGCCAGTCCAGGCAGGAAAGACTTTGAGATGCTTACATTCAATTAACTACCAAACAGCCCAAAAGTTGAACTGGGACTCAAGTGGTAAATCACTAGCCTTGAGCAAAAAAGCTTAGAGACAGTGCCTAGATTCTGAGTTCAAGCCCCAGGACTGGGGTATGTGAGTGTGTGCATGTATGTGTGCATACATGCACGTACACACAAAAAAAATCCTGAAAAAATCACAATCCTGAACGATTATAATCTATAATGTGGAAATCCTGAAACTAAAATTTTCATGAAAAAGATTCATGTAGGAGATAGAAAAGTTAAGTGTAGGGCAGGGGGGAATGATAAGGAAGTAATGAAATCTTTAAATATCTGACCATTAGTTTGCATTGGCTTTTTTTTCCAGCTGATGAAATTCCAGGAATGTGTAGTGAATTAAAGTTGTAGTTTTCCTGAAAAAGTCAGCATGGTTGCTTGCATGGTAGAATAGTAAGTTATGCAACAGTGCTTCTGTTTTTATCACCAATTTGTCTGTACCAAATCTACAATCTGAATCCATTTCCTTGGACATGTGGTACAGAAGATAGGGAGGCCTAATAGGGTGTGGCTCATGGCAGGGTATAACAGTTCATAGAAGGATTTCTGAAAGAACAGAGACATATTGAAAATGAGTGGAAGCATATTCTCTGAGGAGAGCCAGACCCTAAAAGAATCAAAAAAGTGAGCTATTCAAAAAAGTGAGATGTACTACTTCCAATTGAGTTGATGATAATTTTGGGGATTATCTCTGGGGTCTGGAGCCATACTTCCAGACCTCTTTTGGGAATTTAGTATGTAAGGGATTTTGATCTTTCAGGATTCCAGCATTTCAGATTATGGCATTGGGAATTATGTCTTTGAATATATGACCAAATTGTCAGCAACTAGGGAATATATTATGCTTATTTTGCTATAAAGCTGGTCTAATGGATTAAAATAGAGAGAATGGTGTTGCATATTCAGATATTTGACTATGGTTCACATTTTATTAGACTTTCAACAAAACACATCCATTTCTTCTGGTAAAGAAAAACCATCACCCAAAGCAACAGAAAAAGTATTTAAGGAGCAAGAAATCTCCTCTGGACTTCCTGAGGCATCTATCTCTCCCTTAAACATGGTGCATGGAGCCCTGCCCACCTCTGGCTCTCAGACTGTGCTCCAGGTAAGTTCACCGTGGGTTTCTTGTTGTCATTGATGTTGTTTAGCTATTGGAGACTGAACTTGGCCTGAAGCTTGGAGGCAAGCTCTGTTCCCCTTGGGCCATGCACCAAACCCCTATCATAATTTTTACATCATTGTTTCCTCAAATACTTCAATGTAACTTCGGATGTTGTGATGGTTATACTTTTTTTTTTTAGGTAAATGAAAATTGGTCTTCAGCCTATAGCAACCCTAAGCCATACTGTTTCTGCTGGTCTCTATTTTGTGGACAGAGACTAGATGATTATCCAATTGTAGACTTTTTAGGTAGAATCCAAACTATTTTAGTAACTTCATGATAAGATACAGCTATTTTAGTAGCTTAATAATAAGACACATCTACCTACCTACATAGGGTTTTTTCTTTCTCTTCTAATTAATACAGGTTCTTACTGAGTAGCTAAGACCCTTCAAATTGGTATCCTCTTGTCTCAGCCTTTCAAGTTCTGGGTTTACAGGCATGTGCCACTATACTCAGTGTAGGTTTTTTTTCTTTAAAATTGTATATCTTACCTGATTTTAAATACTCAGAAATATATGTTGTAATCTTGACTCTAATCTTCTCTCTTATTTGTCTTTAATTCTTTGGGCTGTGAAAAGAAGGCATTAGGGCTGTTTATTTTGCTTATAAAGAGAAAAGACCTTTATTAATATTTGATACATGGGTTTCAATAATATGTATAAATTATACAAAAACTTGGTATCAGTATTTGCTTCCCTCCACTTTTTGAAGTGATGCCTCTCTCCTTAAGAATAACTTTTTGGGGCTGGGAAGATGGCTCAGTGGTAGAACGCTTGCCTTGCATGCCTGAGGCCCTGGGTTTGATTCCTCAGCACCACATAAGCAAAAAGAAAAAAGCCGGAAGTGGCACTGTGGCTCAAGTGGTAGAGGGCTAGCCTTGAGCTGAAGAGCTGAGGGACAGTGCCCAGGCCCACAGTTCAGGCCCCACAACCCCCACAACCGGACAAAAAAAAAAAAAAGAACAACTTTTTGTTGCTGGATTGTTTTATTTTAGGTTACAAGGGGTGTGAAGAGAAAAGCAGATACAACAACTCCTACAACTTCCATAGTTAAAGCAAATAGTGAATCTTTTCCGACACTTACAGAAAATAAACCAGTGAGAACACCACCAGTAAAAGAAAATGTAGTGAAGAATGTGTTGCTGGAGTCTCAGCAACAGCATAAAGCTGTCAAGAGTGTTAAAGTAACGGAACAACTGAAGCACTGCAGTGAGATTCTTAAAGAAATGCTTGCAAAGAAACATGTATCCTATGCATGGCCCTTCTACAACCCCATCGACGCCAATGCTCTGGGGCTCCAGAACTACTATGAAATCATCAAAAACCCCATGGACCTGGGCACTATCAAGGTAGATGTAGCCTGAAAGGAGGAACTTTTTTCCTTTATTATAAAAGTAATACCTCATTGTAAAGAAATCGGAAAATCCAGAGTGTTTTTGAAGAAAATTAAGTTCACCTGAAGTGAACCCTTGGGATATTTTAAAATGCACGTTCTTATTTTCATGTACGCACACCCATTGACCTTTCCCCACAGCCTTTGGGTCACAGTACTTACTGTGTTATGAACATATTGAAATATGAGCTATTCTTTAGGAATATTGTATGTGTGTGTACATGTGTACACATGTGCACCAGGACCGGAGATTAAACTCAGGGCCTGGGTGCTGTTCCATAACTTTTCTACTCAAGGCTGGCCCTGTACCCACTTAGAGCCACATGCCACTTCTGGCTTTCTGGTAGTTAATTGGAGATAAGAATCTCACAGACTTTCCTCCTTGCTGGCTTTGAACCACAACCCTCAGATCTCAGCCTCTGTAGTAGCTAGGATTACAGGTGTGAGCTACTGGCACCAAGCAAGAATGTTTTTAATGATTATATAATTCTAGATTGTCTTCTTTTGCTAAGACATTAATACAGTTTTCAACTCTCTTCTTGCCTTTTATTGAAGGAGAATTTTCTGCTTCAGTGATAAAGGTGGAATTTATGTTCAATATGTTAATGTTAAGGATAACTACTTAACAGAACTGTAGCATCTTCAAAATCATTCACCATCTCAGTCCTCCTAAATGACTATTCACTATATGCTCATCTTCATTATTTTCTAGATGTTTGATTATTCTCCTTTTAAGATTTTTTTTGAGAGAGGGTCCTGGTATATACTCTAGGCTACAATGATAACTGACTTGGTTTTTTTCTCAAGCACCACTTACTTTATTTTTTATCTGCAATGAAAAGTTTATTAACCTACTACTCGATTTTTTTAGTAAAAAATTATTTATTTTTAAAATTGTTATTGTAGAGTTGATATACAGAGGGGTTACAGTTACATGAATCAAGTAATGAGTAATGAGAATAATTCTTTTTGAACCATGTCTCATCTTCTGTTGCTTTCTCACAGTCTTTCCCTTCCATCCCCACAAGATATCCAGTTCATTTTCCACATAGTGTCCAGTGAGTATCATTGTTCTATTTGTTCATCCTTGTTCCACCTTTTACATGTCCTTCCTTCCCCTCCCAAATACAAACAATAAGCAAAAGGAAAAGAAAATAATAACAGAAATAATGGCAACTAAAATGTCTTTCCATTTCTTGGAGTTCATTTCATAGAATATTATCATTTCATTATTATTTCATAGAATATTATCATCTGTATATAGCTATTGAGCATTTCTCAAACATTCCTATGTCTATCCTCCTTTGGCCTCTGTATGTTAATGACTAGAGTCTTCTATAATTTATCCTGTCCTAGTGTATGTATGTGTGTGTGTGTGTGTGTGTATGTATGTGTATATTATATATATATATATATATATACATTTTTTAGTCATTCAGTGTATTTTTATATACACATTCTAGTTACCACAAATGAGGTAACCATGCAGTCTGTTTCTTTGGCTCTAGCTTACTTCACTTAATATAATTTTTTCTAAATCTTTCCATTTCCTTACTAATGGTACAATATCATTCTTTCTGATGGATGAGTAGAATTCCATTGTGTATACATAGCACATTTTCTTGATCCTTTTTTCCACTGGGGGATGTCTAGGTTGATTCTATATCTTGGCTATGGTAAACAATGCTGCAATGAACATGGTTGTGCTGATGGCTTTACTGTGTCCTGGCTTGTGGTCCATTGGATAAATGTTTAGGAGTGGAATTGCTTAGTCATAGGGAAGCTCTGTCTTTGATCTTTTAAGGAACTTCCTACTGCTTTCCAGAGTGGTTACCACTTGATTTTTGTTTGCTCTTGTTTCTTGCACTTTCTTCTTACTCTCTGGATTTGTTCTTTTCATTGAAATGCAATGAAACTCTCCTGAGACTTCAGTTTTTAATCATCTATATCTACCAGAATAATTTTGTCCTTATTTTACAATAATTGTGTTTACTGAATATAGAATTCTAAAATGATACTATCCCTTCAAACTTCTAAGACAGATTCTGACATCTGTGGCTGATGAGGTATCTGCTATGTCTACTTCTCATTCCTTCTGACATTTAAATTCTGAAAATAAGTTTTTTTTATTTTAATTTTAATTTTTATTTTTTTATTGTGAAAATACTGTACAGAGGGGTTACAATTACATGGGCAACATAATGAATACATTTCTTATCAAGCATTGTAGCCTCCTCCTTTGTTTCCCCTTCCCATCCCTTCCCA